GGGTGCCCGGCGGGCAGCTGCCCGCCCGCCGGCTGCCCGCTGCCGGCGATGTTACTCTTAGCCGCGGGTAGGTGGCGGGTCCCCTACCCCCACCTACCCCCACTGACTCTTCTTCACAAATAAACGCCCCGGTAACCACCGTGGAACCCGGAACCATGCTTAGACACTTTCAAACGTAATCGGCAATAACACGTAGACAATTAACGGGTCCAAAAGCAAGAACATACGGCACATAACCTATCATGCTTTTCTAAACATAATTAGCACCCAAACATACGAATTCCCACCCAATATACCAAGAATGATACCATACGAGTTCCAGATATAACCTAGGGTTCTAATTATTTTTAAATCAACAAGAACGCAATTCATCATCTAACATCAAGATTCGGTAGGAATATCATATAAACATCAAGAACATCATATAATCATCAAGAACATCAAGAACACCATATAATCATCAAGAACCTCTTATCATCAAGATCACCCATGGAATCATAACACCAATTATCAAGATCATTATAATGAATCATCAACACACAAGAATATGGGGGAAATCCTTAGAGGGGAATCATAGCTATGATAATAGGTTTTGTTGAGACATGGGTTACCTTTTATCCTTAATTAATTCCTTGACTATGAAGGATCTTTCTTGAAGCTTTCTTCTTTCTTGATTTCTCCTAGGGGAATTCTTGGAACTTCTTGTGTGGTGAGGGATTATTGTGGTGGGGGTTCTAGGTGCCCCTTAAGTCCCCTATTTATATATCTAGGAGTCCTAATTAGGAACTAATATTATAGGCTTGCTAATTCTATTCCTTTTAGGGCTAGGGGTTGGGTTTTAGAGATGAGGGCTCGCGGACTATGGTGGGCCTTTTCCTAATTAATTACTGTAATTTAATTCTTTCTTTTGGGCAATAGGTTAAATGATTAATCGGTTCTAGGGGTCGTAAGACGGGGTGTTACATATATGTATATGTATATGTATATGTATATATACATACATATATATATATATATATATATATATATATATATATATATATATATATATATATACATATGTATATATACATATACATATACATATATATGTATACATATATACATATATACATATACATATATATGTATATATATATATATATATGTATATATATATATATATATATATGTATATATGTATATGTATATATGTATATGCATATATGTATATGTATATATGTATATGCATATATGTATATATATATATATATATATATGTATATATATATATATATATATATATATATATATATATATATGTATATATATATATATATATATATATATATATATATATATATATATATATATATATATTACAAAATAGGGATTTATTTTTACAAAAATAATCACACCACAACTTGTACGAAACTAGTACAAGAATATATATATATATATATATATATATATATATATATATATATATATATATATATATATATATATATATATTTATTTATTTATATTTATTTATTTATTTATTTATATAGGAAAAAGTTCAAATGCTGCGGGGTCTTCCGGTGCGACGGAATTTCAGAATACACCAACAGTGTAAGGAAAACACACTACAATGAAATGCAATAAAAAATACACAATAGACCGAAAGAAATACACCATATAACTCACCACCTCCAATGGTGTATTTCCGAACACTGTATGGTATTTTTACTCACACCTAATGGTGTGTTTTTGGTGATGCGTACCTAATTTGTCTCTGTTTTTTGTGGTGTATTTTCCTAACGTTGATGGTGTATATTTGTTGAACTATTGGTGATGCCGCACCGCCGCACCTGAACTCGCCCCTCTCTCTCTCTCTCTCTCTCTATATATATATATATATATATATATATATATATATATATATATATATATATATATATATATATATATATATATATATATATATATATATAAAACTAGAGAAAAGAGTTTCTAACATGAGGTTTTAACCCAACACAAGAAAGGAGAAGAAGAAGAAATTCGAGTCGTGTGATACTCACACTTTCATTAAAACCGACTCATCACCTCCCAAGGGTGCTAGGAGCATTGCGGCATCAGTCTCCCAAGATAAAACAGACTACGATTTTGGTGTTCGAGCACTCAAACCCAAAGCTCGGCAAACAAGAACACAAGGTGAGTACGTACTCTGTACGAATTTACGGAAGATGTTGATAGACAATTTTCTATTTCAAAACAAGGAATGAGAGTAGAGAGAAAAGTAAAAATTTTGAGAGTTTCAAAATTGGCATACCAACTCATTCTGCCAACATCCTAGCTATTTGTGTGAAAAAAGAACAAATAGCTTTATAATGGCTTATAAATCCAATATTAATCCAATTTAATAATAGTATTATAACGTTTGAAACAGTCATACTAATTATCGTAATAATATCAATATCACGAAATCAATATCACGAAATTAATATATAATTAATTTCAAAACACTTGAGTGACCTAA